TTTGCGCGAAAATTTGTTGTGTTTTTTAATTTTTTATTATTTTTTGTTATTGTTTTACAATTTCCTAATGTTTAAGTGATAAATTGATTATGGTTTTTAGATATTAATGTAAATAATTGTAATTAGGTTGATCTGCCGCGTGGTCTCAGCGATATAAGGATCTCCGGTTAATCTACCTGCGAATTTCCGCAGTCTGGATTGCAGATAGATTAAAAAAAAATTGAGGAACAAACTTAGCTGCGACCGTACACTTTGAAACTTTGATTAGGGATTAATTGAAAAAATTTTAATGACTGTTCATTCGTTTGGATATCTTGTGAATATAGAAAAATTTTCGAGTTTTTTGTGGATTTTGGGATGGAGGGCAGAAGAGGTCATTTTAATGTTAATTAAAAATTAATATTAAAAAAAAATGGGAATGAGAAAGCTTAGTCAATGGGGAGGGTGGAGTTATGTGTAGAAGTTCACGCAAGTGAGGAAAGTTCTCTGATCGCCATTCACTTGGGAGTGGTCAGAAACGATTCTTTTACATGTGACTCAAGCAGCTCACGACTTCGGCTCTTTGACCAAGTATTCTCTGGGTAGCCTAAGAATATCCGTTGGAAGGCGAGCTAAAGTTAGAAGGCGAAATATCCCTTACATAGCCTCGTGTGCAGGGTTTGGGACCCGCCACATAAAAACACACCCCCAATGAAAAGGAACAACCAGGCTCGGATGAGAGACCCCCCTTTTGATGACGACCATGGCAAATGAAATAAGGACTACGAATTGAGGGCATACACCTGGAATGTCCGGTCCTTTAATTGGGAAGGCCGCTGACCAGCTGGTTGATGTCCTCGTGAAAATAAAGGCTGACATCACCGCCGTCCAAGAAACGCGATGGACGTTACAAAGACAGCGACGAGTAGGTCCTTGTGGCATTTACTACAGTGGCCATATAAAGGAGCGCAAGTTTGGTGTGGGATTCGTGGTGGGAGAGCGACTTCGTCGCCCAATACTATCATTCACTCCAAAGAATGAACATCTAGCCACAATCCGCATCAAAGCGAGGTTCTTCAACATATCGCTGATTTGCGCCCACGCCCCAACGGAAGAGAAAAACGATGTGAACAAAAATGCGTTTTAAGAGTGCTCGGAAAGCACTTATGAGACCTGCCCCCGCCACGATGTCAAAATTGTGCTTAGCGACTTTAACGCCAGGGTGGGTAAAGAAGGTATCTTTGGCACTACGAGCGGTAAATTCAGCCTCCACGAGGAAACATCCCCAAATGGGTTGAGGCTGATTGACTTCCGGGGCCCGAAATATGGTTATCTGTAGTACTAGATTCCAGCATAAGAAGATACGTCAAGCTACCTGGCTGTCTCCGGATCGAAAAACCACCAACCAGATCGATCATGTTGTGATAGACGGAAGACACGTCTCCAGTGTTTTAGATGTGAGTGCGCTCTGAGGTCCTAACATCGACTCGGCCAAGATCCGCACCGCCTCTGTGCAGCGAAAAACGCACGCCAACAAACACAAGGAAGGTTCGACGTCAAGAAGCTGCAATCACAACAGACAGCCGAACGATTTTCTACTCGGCTTGTACTCCTGCTCTCTGAGAGCACTCGTCAACAACTCGGTGTAAGAGAACTGTCGGACGGCATTTCAAACTCCTTACGTACAGCTGCAAAGCGGCGGGGGCCGATGGATTGCCGGCCGAGCTGCCTTTATGCCGGAATGTCTGAATTTGGTATCAGCGCAAATCTAATACGGCTGTGTAGGATGACGTTGAATAACACCAAAAGCTCCGTCAGAATCGGGAAGAACCTCTCCGAGCCGTTCGATACCAAACGAGGTATCAGACAAGGTCGATTCCCTATCGTGCGAATTCTTCGACCTGCTTCTGGTTAATAGTTCGAGCTGCAGAAAGAAATAGAGAAGGTACCATCTGCTATAAGACTGTACAGTTGCTGGCATATGCCGATGATATTGATATCATCGGCCTCAACACCCGCGCCCTTATTTCTGCATTCTCCAGAGTGGACAAAGAAGCAAAATAAATGGGTTTGGCAGTGAACTAGGGCAAGGCTAAATATTTCCTGTCATTAAACCAACAGTCGTCGCACTCGCGACTTAGCACTCATGTCTCTGTTGACAGTCATAACTTTGAAGTCGTAAATAATGTCGCCTTCTTGGAACCAGCGAAAACACCGCCAACAATGTCAGTCTGGAAATCCAACGCAGAATAACTCTTGCCAGCAGGTGCTACCTCGGACTGAGTAGGCAACTGAGAAGCAAAGTCCTCTGTCGACAAATAAAAACCAAACTCTATAAGTCACAAATAATTCCCGTCCTGCTATATGGTGCAGAAGCTTGGACGATGTCAACAACTGATGAGTCGACATTGCGAGTTTTCGAGAGAAAAGTTCTGCGAACGATTTATGGTCCTTTGCGCTTTGGCCACGGCGAATATCGCATTCGATGGAACGATGAGCGTTATGAGATATATGACGTCATTGACATAGTTCAGCGAATTAAGAGACAGCGGCGACGCTGGCTAGGTCATGTTTTCCGAATGGACGAAAACACTCTAGCTCTGAAATCCACGTAGCGAAAAGAAGAAACGCCTAGCGCTTTTGTTAACTCCGCTATAATCGTGTAAGCGGTGTCTACCCCAATTCAGAAGAAGAAGTCAATGGGGGCGATGTTTACGCAGTGATACAAAATCGAATGGAAACTACAGCCGTTTTATTAAAGCGGCAATATCCTGGAAAATCGTTGACAGTCAACTAAATTGCGGAAATTTAAAAATATATGACTGAAGTATTTCGCGTAGTTCTTCTTTCTGCGTTGGGGGCCTGCGGCTGCGCTCTAAAGAAATAAACCTAGTCGAGCGAATACCCGGGGTGACTAAAGTACTTTCGCGTAGTACTGCTTTCTGCGTTAAAAGTAAAAAATATATCGAGTTGTTTATAAAGTAGTTAAGTGGTTATATTTTTTGGTGATCATGCACTCATCTTGAAACAAAATTTGAGTTTCCATTATAAAATGGTTAAATTTTGGTTATTACATCTGTCTGCGATTTTCATTTTTTTTTTTATATATAGTCTTATTATATAATATTACTTATTTGCTTAATTAACTTAAAAAAAGAAAATATCTATATGCATGGATAGAGGAATTTCAGCGAATTGTCTTATCATCACATGACAGCGCTCCATTTCGTCGTATTTTTGGCACACAAATGATGTTGAGTGTAAAATGTAATTTTTAAAATAAGAAATTTTATATTAGATTAAAAAAAACCTGTTAAAAGTGGAAAATGTGGATGTATTTTAAAGTTTATGGTGTAATTTAAGTAATTTGAAGTGAAAAATAATAATAATACCCAACGATTACCCTCCTCCCGCCCAACCGACGCAAGGGGCGCAACCCGCGAACGAGCGGAATTAGCCGAATCATAAAAGGCAAGGGAGTTTTAAGCGTTGCGATCTTAAGCTGCGGATCTCTAAATTCTTTAGACCAACGTTTAGCAAAACCAAGAGCACCTTTAGCTTAAAAATAAACTTTGTGCGTATTATGTATGTACATATGTGTGAAGTAATGTGTTGAATGCAATGTCATTGGAAATAATTTTCTGCCAATGTTTGTTGTTGTGCCGTTGCACCATTCGTCAATTCTTGAGCCGTGCAAGGGTTTTGCAAGAGCAAGAGAACTCCCGTTATAATGGAGTTGAAAGGATCTTTTCCTACATGTGAACGCACAGAGTGGCACAAAAATAGAATTTGTCGATATTGAGTCCCCATGCAATGGAAGGCATACACGCAACAATTAGTTGGTTGATTGAGTTGCCCTTGCTACATACAACACAACTTTTAATACACTTTGGCGCCAACTTCATTTAGAATATTCACTTCGTTGCTTAACCATGATTTCGGAACTTGTTGCTTTACTTATTATAAATGATACCGGCCAAAATAAAATGACGAAATCGTTTGAAATCGCACGATCGACCCAAACACTATCTAACTAACACAACTAACTTGACAAAATATCAAATAATTTGATTTTCATTAAATCAGTTGCCACAACAGATACCATAGATAACTTAATACGAGACTCTTTGGTTCGAGAGAGAGCTGTCAATACTCGCATTTATTATAACATTTGCCAATGATGTCACTGCTGAAAAATATTAGCTTGGGTATTTAATAAATTATAGAAAACACTAAATTAAACACCTTGGAAATGCATACATATATAAATGCTAAAATGCAAAATCATTAATTAATTTACATAAACATTTATTTTGCCAAAATATGTTCGCACAGTTCAATGAAATGTCATTTCACACTAATTTCGTCAAGTGATTATAGCGCTGCTCTTCTGGCATCCCGCCTTTTCCGCTAACTGCTGGTTGAAGGCATCCTGATTGTGTTTTGTTGCCAGCTCAGAAAACAGATCACCCGCTGACAAGCTAGAGAGCAAGAAAGGAGATTCTGATGAAGTTATCTCTGATGTGTGGAATACAACGCTCGCGACAGATTGCAAACGACATCTGTCAAATATTAAAATAAACACGCTCTTATCGACGGACCTATTTTGACAGCTGCACGACTACACGACTGCAGGCCGACAGTTGTCGTTCTCGCTAACTTCAATTTGATCCTATATTTGCCAACGACAGTAGAACGACAGAAGAGTTGACAGTAGAACGGAAGATAGAGAGATGAGGTAGAGTGGTGATGCCACTAATATGTAAAATGTAAAATTACTCAAAGCTCTAACAAACCTGACGTTATTTTACAAATAAAATCATAAAATAGCTCTGTTACATCATTTACAAAAACAATTGATAATTTAAAACAAATAAATGGCCACAACGAGATTGTGTACACGCAAAATGGACGCACGTTGTTGCCCTCTCACAAATGTTCTTGTACTAGGATTCACAACGCCATTTTCTGTTCACTGTCGTGCTGTGCAGTCTATCGCTAGCACTGTGTGCCACACATGACAGATTGCAGGAAATAGTCGATTAATACAATGAGTTGAATAAGCTTGCCATCCCTAAGCTGAATATATTAGCACAGATATTTCTTGTTATTAATCGTGGAAGTATACGATTGGAATAATCAGAAGCAAATATTTTTATATCTATGAAAAGTGTAAAGTTCCCTGTCATTGTTTCAAATCATTCAGTCATGCTTTCGTTGTGTGTTTTTCCGCGAGTTGCTTCGAAGCTTATACTTCGTCGTGATCTATTTCCAGAATATATGACAACAAAATATAGAACAATTTTAAAGTGTGTGAAATTGTATACCGTGTCCAAAACAGCTACTTTCATCCAATCACAAAATGGAAGTCAAGTATTGAATATGAGTATTTGGGATGATATACCCATACACTTAGTTAATGTTCGAGCTATTAGCAATTGCTTAAGTGTGTCCTCATCACGGAATGTACTTACGACACAAAATAATCTTTGTAATACTGTGTTAAGACCTAAAACACGATTAGGTTATAAACCACAAACCGTCGGGGACTTCGATATGCTGTATAAGTTAACACAGGAAAAATTTAAATGTAAATATTAAATTTCCTCAAATTATATACAATTATTGTTTTGCAATATTTTAATCTGGTAAAATTTAGAATAGCATCCCCGAATATCGGGGATAAAATCAACAATTCCATTTCTTTGGCGCCGCGATTTGAAGGTACCGTTGGAAAGAGGACGTTCTCCTGATCAAAAAATATAGGTATATTATAGGTACGGCAAACGCTTAGTTTAGGAGATATTCGACCTCAAAGTTCAAAAATTCGCAAAATTCGGACATTTCAAGTGGCTGTTTCACCACTTTAAACACACTTTATTCACATTTTTCACTTTAAATTAATTAATTTACACTATAAACTTTTAAATAAATCCACATTTTACACTTTTAGTAGGTTTGTTACGTAAAAAATCTTTATTTAAAAATTACATTTTACTCTCGTTTGAACCTCATTTGTTTACTA